TATAAATATCTGAAGGGTGGGTGTCAGGAGGATGGGGCCAAACTCTTCTCAGTGGTGCCCAGTGACAGGACAAGGGGCAATGGGCACAAACTGAGGCACAGGAAGTTCCAGCTGAACATGAGGAAGAACTTCTTCACTCTTAGGGTGACGGAGCACTGGAACAGGTTGCCCAGGGAGGTGGTGGATTCTCCCTCTCTGGAGATATTCAAGACCCACCTGGACAAGGTCCTGTGCAGCCTGCTGTAGGTGACCCTGCTTCGACAAGGGGGTTGGACTAGATGACCCACAGAGGTCCCTTCCAACCCCGACCATTCTGTGATTCTGTGTCTATAGAGATGCAGTATCTCTAGTCAGACCACCCGATCCAGAGGACAGAAAACAAACAGACACGCTTTTCAGCACAAGTGTGGGTTTTTTCCAGATCCATTACCTACCTCTCCTATCACTGTAGACCAGCGTGGCTACAGAGGTGGCAATACAGCAGCAACCAACCAATAAAGACTAAACTCTTCCAAAATTTCCATGAGAATAATCCGTGCTATAAATCAAGTTCATTAAACTAAATTCTGTCCAACCTTTATTGCTGTCCTGAAACACAGATACTGCTCCTTTAAGGCCACGAATGTTTTTAGCTCACTCGAACTGTCCCTGACGACAATGTTGGAAGAGCTTTGCAAAGAGCTTAAAAATACCACAAGGGAGTCTTTGTTGATATACAGCAGAATCCACAATTCAAAAGGTTGTTTAATATGCATGAGAGGTTTAGCTGTTTATAAGATTGTCCTCATGGCTATGGAGCAAAACTACTTGCCTCTACAAAATATTGTGCACAGTCAGAGCAATCCATGCAAATATTAGAGTTTTGTTTCCTTTTCCCACTGAAAGCCACAGATTGACATTTTAGAGCATTTCCAAGATAAGATTAAGAACAGCCTTAATTAAAAGCTAAACTTTACCTGGCTTGAATTTTGGATTATCAACTCAAAGACCATTCAAAATGGGCCATTACTTTTGACCAAAATTACTTAACTAAGTCCATTTTTAAATTAGCATGCGGTCCTCTAGTTTGCCTCTTCCTATGCTAGCAGTACAAATCGTATCACCTTTCAAAAGTATCACAGCAGCCAGTACAAAGCTCAGAAACTCAAGTTCCACTGTGTTTTTTCAAAGATTACTAAAATTATAAGCAGCACATAAAAGAAACCCCTGCCACAATATTAATAAACACAGTACCTCTTTCATGTATTGATTATACAAGTCTTCCGCAGATTCCAAGTAAGTTTGTGCCGTTTTAATTTCATCCCTTTCAGACCACAGGATACCTAGATTGTTCTAAAGGTAAAAGTAAAAACAAAATAGGTATTTTCCCATTATGTTCCATTTACATCATACATTTTCTCTGAACAATTTATCAGCCTTCATCCTTATACATATACGTGTTCTAACACAATGGATTTCAAAAAGCAAAAATTGTGCCCATGCATTTTTTTGTGAGTCACTCAAAAAGTAAGGTTCTCACACAGCGGCGAATATGTACAAAAGTCACCTGACAAACAGCAATTTTCTGTGTTTACTCTGCTAAATTAGGACTGGTGTGTTCAAATAACAAGCTGCTTCTACACAGTGTGTTCTGCATCTGATTCATGCAGCTTTTTTACCATATACAATATCATAAAAAGAGCCAAGGAATTAGAAATTTGTCATCACGACTGTAAAAAAATTAACAGGAAAAACAGATGCTAGAAATGAATGCTTATGTATTTTCAACAATGAAAAGAGATTAAAAGAACCATTAAGATGCAAAAGCTATAGATTACTGCCTTCAAATTTAAGTTACAGCAATGTACATAGTAACATTACTGCATCTGTGAACCCACCCTTTACAAAAAAGTACCTCTGATTTCACTGATAAGGATGCAAGCATTAGTAACAATCCATGTCTGATGTGCTAATTTAATTCCTAGACAGCATTGTTACAAAATCCAACAGGACTAAAAAAAAATTTAAAAAAAAAATCAAAGAGTTGGCATGCACAGTTGTAAACCAGCCCTGCATTCCATGCCTTTCAATTTCATTTATTTTATTATTTTTAAAAGGACACACTACATAGCATAATGTTTATGAACAGAAACGCTTTGCCCAAGGCCGAGCAGTGGAATGGACCAAATTTAATTGGACAGAAACTGCGATATACAACCTTATGCAGAAGCTCAGAAATTAGAATTAGGGCTACAGAAACAGGCACAGCAGGAAAAAGGAATGCTGCTTCTTTCAAAATAGAAGTCAGTACCGTGACAACATACTCTATACAAACTAGAATGTGATGATGGAGAAGTATGGCCACTATTGACAACTACTGCTTTTGTATCAGAACTTTTTTTTTTTTTAATTAAATACTGATGTCTTTTACAGCCCTTGGGACAGAAAGTTGAGGGCACGTTCATTTATCATTACCGCTCTCAGCTGCATGCCTGAGACCTGTCTTCTGTTGGACCACAGCACTTCATGTGTAACACAGAAACTTTATCCTGCTGTTTCCTAAAGGCCCCAAAACAGGCAAATCCGTGCAAAGGACAGCATTTAGCCCATAAAGTTCTGCTTTCCAAAACACCTGTTCAAAAGCACAGCGGAATCCCTGGCCCTCAGTCACAAAGGCAACAACTCCCCAGCAACACACACTGCGAAGATGTTATCTTATTTTAACTGGCTTCTCAAGCAATCTCCAAATGAGTAACAGATTTGTAGCGGTGTACCCAAACCATCACACTGAAGGACAGTGAGCAATGTAACCTCACAAATTCCAGACAACTCGGTTAATTTAACCAGTGTAAGACAAGTCGCTGTTTAACTAGTGCCCTTCCACATGAACACACAACTCCTTGACAGTTTTGCAATGTTTGAGAAGGAAGTACTACTAAGCCTTTTCTAATTAGAGCAGCCATTTTTGACAGAGACATCTAAATAACCGCTCTACTTAAAGTCTAGAGATAGACATCTAACTATACACCAGCTACCAAGACAGAGTGGTTGAGCAAAGGTCCTTTTGTGAATCTTCATATGATAAGCACTAATTCTGCTAATAGTGTTACTTTCTTCAGAATAAAGAGTTGAATATTATTGCTTCTCACCCTACAAGCCTGTATTTACTCCTCTGGAATGAAGTATGATAAATTAAGAGACAACAAGCGAGGCTGAAAAGCAAACAACTTTTGAGAAAAATTTACCTTTTCAGGATACTGCATAAACAAAAGCACGCCCAAACTTCACTTTGACAACACATGACAGTTTCGGAATCACAAATAGGTTCTGGATATACTGAGGTCTTCTACTAATTTATTTGCTCTCAGTTCTTGCAAGTTCTGTCTCAGCCTGTCCTGGAGAGTATGCTGCTTTGTCAACACCCAGTCTCCGCCGAGATAACAGAAACACGCTGTCGGGCGCTCTGCACGCCCAGAGCCATCAGCAGCAAGGCTGAAGGAGCGCGGGATCCCTCCACAGTCCTCACCCGTGAATCATCTCCTCGAGGATGCCGGCAGCCCTGACATCTATTGCTACAGAAC